ACACCAACACCAACACCAACACCAACACCAACACCAACACCAACACCAACACCAACACCAACACCAACACCAACACCAACAGAAAACACGGATCTGACAAACACTGAAGACACTGAACAGAATATAAAGGGAAAACTAATGAGCTAAAACAAGAAACACCTGGAGAAGATACATGAGGATCAGGTGTGAGTGGGCGGGGCTGGAGCACAGGCAGACAGGAGGAAGAAAACAGATGACAAGACAGAAAACCGGAACAAAACATTTACAAAGACACCAATCATAACACAGTGATCATAATAAATATGTTAAAGAACAGTGCTACGAAAGTGCCTGTGCTTGAACCACACACTGACAATCTGCTTCTGTTTGTGAGTATGCAAATTGGCAAGCTTGTCTTTTTTCTTTCATATAAGCATCAAATCATTTAAAATCACAAGTTTTTTAAGTAGCCACAAAGACTGCACTGAGAACAAACGGGCATTTTCTAATGATTCCTCCTAATCTCCGTCAGTCTGGAGTGTGATCCTGCAGTCATAACAAGTTAAACCTGATGGACATTAAGTAGGTCCCTTTTCAAACACAGTCTAAATGTTACTATTTTTCTTAAATCAAACAAACATGTGGCTACAACATGGCAAGAAATTCTTGTACCTTGACACAGAAGGAGATCAATACAGATCATGAGGAGGTGAAAGTGTGAAAAGCTGAGAAGATCTTAGAAAACGTGAAAAACCATGGAAAAAGTATTTAGGCACTGAAACACTGATTTTATTATTACCCTCCATTAAAGGTAGTTGAGTAAACATTTAATTTTTAGGTGCTGATCAGGTAGACTAATCAGCCTCATCATATTCAAAAGTGGTTAACTTTACCACAGCACCTTTTTTAAACGGCTGAACTATCCCTTTAAATAAATCAAAATTTTGAGTATTTGTACCGACAGTAATTCATCTCATGTTTACATCAGTTCTCCTCGGCCACATCCTCAGAGTTGTAAAGTAACTAAGTACAAATACTTTGTTACTGTACTTAAGTAGAAATTTTGGTTATCTGTACTTTACTTAAGTAATTATTTTTCAGCGTACTTTTTACTTTTACTCATTACATTTTTACACAATTATCTGTACTTTCTACTTGCTACATTTTTTAAAAAAGGTAAGAAGTAGAAAGTCATTACGCCTATTTTATTCCGAGTTGCTATTACTTAAAAAATACTATCCTGATAAATTGTGTCTCCTGGATAGAGTGAATTTAATTGTGGTTGGATGAGGTTGGATGAGAAGTATATATA